GGCGGGCGGCGGCTGGGGCGCTGCGGGCGGTGGGGAGCTGCAGGCCCCGTTTTACCTCACAGCCGCCTCTCTTCTTTTCTCTTTAGGGGGTGGCGGGGGGTGTCCGTGAATTAACGGGGTTGATCTGCGGCAGCACCGAACGCAGCCGTGCATTGTGTGACTGACGCGATGCCTGTTAACTCGGAGGAAGAAGACCACGAAGTCAGGCCACGGGCATCATGACTGGGATTATCTCAATACATCGGCACTGCAGACCCCCGGCGCTGCCCACTTGCCACCCAGCCCCGGGGAGGGTTGTACTTGTGGAGTGCTTGTCACTGTAACAACAGGCACCACCGAGAAACGGATAAAACCAGCAGCGATTTTGCCTTCAAAGCAAGTTTCAAAGAGTGCCGTGCCAGGGGGCTGTGGAAAAGAGAGGACGGCCACGTTGTGGACAGGTCCTTTCACAAAGGAGGGCAGAAATACGGTTGCGCAGGGCACCGCGGTTCTGGCATTTCCTAGCATTTGAAATAATGGGCTTGACAGTAGAGTGCTCATAGCACAGACTTGGGGGGTGGAATTGCCATGTGTTCAAACAAAAGAAAATGGAAATTGAAGGGGGCAGGGCAGCTTTAATTATGGGTTACCTTAGTGACACAGACAGGCGTTATCTGGTGAGGGAGAGCCACGGGATCCATCACGTGCCAGCGGCGAGGACGTGTGTGTCTGTGCGATAAGTCCCATCTCTGGCATTTCCAGGTGCTGGAGAGCAGCAAAGGCGCCGAGGCACACGCTGCTTCAGCCCCTGATGGTGACAGACCTCCCTGTCTGCCTGACCTCCCCTGTCTCTGGATCCACATCCATCTCCCCTGGCCTCTCCTCACCCATTTGTCACCTGCCCCCTTCACCCAATCTGTGATCCACAGCCCCTACCCCCACCCCGAGCCCTTCTGCAGCTCCTGGGCTGTGTGTCGCAGATAAACGGCCACAATCTCTTACCCATTTTTTTCAATGCCTTCTCAGTCCCCAGCCTTCTTGTCTTTTGCTAACTACACCCGTTGCTGAATCTACATTTTATCTTTTGCCTTTTGAGTAGGATAGGCTAAGCAGGGAGGTCATTGAGAGCTCTGGAGGACACGAGCTTTGTGCTTTAAGGTGGAGCTGTTACAAAGTGGTAAGGTGCTAAGACCCATTTCTTTTAACGTGCCCCTTACACAAAAAAACCCTGGGAAATTCCAGTTCAGTTTCATCAAATCCCAACTGAGCAGCTTCAACATTCAAATTTTCAAGGTGTTTGAGATGATACAAGTCACAACAGCCACCACCTCAACCACCAATCTGAAACTCCTCCCTAACACCTATTTTTAGTTCCCTTCTTCAAACTTTGAGACTGTCAGAGTTCTGCTGCAATTCCCCATTAAATGACCAAATAATTGCAGAAGAAATCTTCCACAGTTACTCACTGTGGGCCACATAGCATGATGTTAAAAGTTTGATAGGGCTCTTAGCAATTGGAAATGTGTCACTATAGGAAGTATCAGGCGACCTGGTGGTGGTAGCAGCCTTCCTGTGTCAGGTGGGAGTGGAGGAGGAGACATTTTTCCTTGCAGAGCTCTGCAACTTAAGGCTGACTTATCCTTGAACAGAAAGGATCCTTAGCCTTCCAAAAATATGTACTAATAGTCTTCTCTTGTCCCTAGACGTTCTAGTTTGGAGGGAACTCTGTACGCATAGGTATGTGCAGGAACAGGAGGGGTGGGGGAAGAGGGGTGATAAGAGCCTTCATTACAGAGCACAAGAAGAGAAATTGCTTTGGCAGCAGTAGGTGACTCATTAACCACACGATTTGCACAGTGAATGAAAAACAGAATTACACAGTGATACGGGAATTGTCTGCCCCTTTCTCTGTTCTTTGCTGTGCAGCAGGAGCTTGCCTGTGTCAGGATTGTCTCTGGGCATGAGCATCCCTGGGCTGCACCTGGCTGTGGCTCACTAGTACCTCTGCTTTGGAATAGGTGCCTGGTTTGCACACTGGAAGGAAAAACTGCTTATCCTGTTTTCTGTAATTCTGTCACAGAGAGCAAAAGCTCATCTGACTGGTTTAACTTAAGGCTAACTATAGGGCAATGTGGTTGAAGGAGATAGAAAATGGAGAAGGGACTCTGAATCAGCTGATTTGTGTTTAAAGGCTTATTGTGCTTGCTCTCTCTAATTTTTTTTTTTTTTTCTTGTTTGGGGAAATAAGATATAAATGACACCCTGGCAAGAAGTGCATAAAATCTGACAGATGAGTAAATTGTAATCTTCAGAGTTGTAAGCTTGGAAAGAACATTGCAGAGATAATGTGTGTTCTTGACTTGAGGGAAGTCCTGTCTATTAGAAATATACCCCTCTGAAGATTGATCTGAACTTTTAAGATTTCAATTGAATAATTGCTCTGAGATTTGAAATATTCTGAATTATTTAATTTCCCATTCACCGAAATTTAATAACATTGCAGTGGTGATTTAAAATGTTAAATTAATTATGACATTTTGTTAAATTCCCTTTTGTCTTTCATCAGTTATTTCAAAGACCTCAGCTAATGCAGAAATGGTATCACCCCAGTACAGATGAGAGATGAGTCAGAGATTTGTTAGCTTGAATGGCCTCAGACTTACTTATACCTTCTAACCACCGTGATGCAATTAAAGATCAAGACTGAGAAAGCTAAAGTTTCCTTGCTAGCCTTTGTTCTTTTGACCCTCTCTGCTACAGCGTTTCATAGAGAATAGGTCAGATTCACATAGATAGAGCCATAATAAATTATCTAAATCTAGCAGGAAAGGAGAAGGTGAATTCATGTAGGCAAATAGGGGTGAGTCTGAAGGTGAGTTTTATGAGATGACTGCATCAGTCTCTCAGCTGTCTTGAAAGCAGCAGGTGTGTATCTCCACCCTCCTTCACAGCCACCCACCTCATGCTGTTGAGTTCACTGTCGGGAGTTGGGAGTGGGGAACTGAAACAGCTTCTACCAGGAAGGAGAATACAAGCCATTACACTGGCTTGGTTAAAGCCATGCACTTGGCCTACACAGACCTACACAGATTTATAGTAAGTCTAATACAATGTTACACACAGTATGAAAAGAATAGATGAATCGGTTGTTCTAGCATCTTTCTTCATTCACATTCTAGTTCAGCCTTGTAAATCTAAAATCTCCTTAAATTTTAATAGCAGTTACTTAAGAGCAGTTAATAATAGCAGTTAATATTTGAGTAACAGTGTTAGCCATGAATGTACATGCCAC